GTTCGAACAGATGGTTATTTTAGTTCACGACTCTTCTCATTGAATTCCATTGCATGTTTGTTGGCAACAACTTGAATCTTGACTCCATAAGATATCATTCAAAAATGCTGTAACACGCTGTCATAGCAAAGTATTGGACTTCTGCGGGATCCAGGTCGGTGGCTCATTGTCCCTCGATGGCCGTCGTACGCCGTCGCGCCCCTCAAAACCGTCCTCGCGCGTTCTTCTGAGTCTTCTTCGAGGCGAGCCTGCAGAAGTCAGGCCGACAAAAATGAATACCCCCAACTATACTAAAGGTTAAGGTTCGGATGGGTGGGCCTGGCCACACGTAGGGTCTTGGATTGTCGCTGAATGTAGACCCTAGAGATTCGAGCACTTTAGGCCTTCTCAGCTTTGCTGCAGGAAGTGTGTTCACATTTCGAAAGCAGCTGAAGGTCTTAAAATCGTTTCCTCAGACCTTCGTGTTAAAGAAAGATACCAGGAACAATAATCCGCTCCAGACCCCAGTGTCTGGAACCCTTCTCAATTAGCCAGAAAAAAGTCTTCATGAATCTTCATCATCTTGTCCGTTCACTGATGTTTTTTCTTTGGAAGCCAGCGCGTATTCTAATATGGTTTCCTTTGGAATCTGGAAACCTGACGTCCGTGGCCTCCTCCAGGCACTCCAAGGAACTTGAGACCCACGATCCGTCTTCATCTTGCACCAACCACCCTGGCGCAGGTGGGCGGAAGGTAGAGGTTGGAAGATTCTGAGCAGGAGCAGCAACAGGCCGCCAACCGCTATCGAGCTGGCCAGAGGCGAAACGGTGCAGGTCTGATCCTTCTGGTCGGAGTTAAGGGAGGGGGAAATTAAATGCAATCATCGAAAGCAAGCGCTGGAGGCTTCCATCGCCCCTAACATACTTTTGCTAAAGCATAAGCAAAGAAAATGCGTCGCCAATGTTGCTTGTTTCCGATTCCCATTCCCATCAATGCAAACATCGACATCGCCCAATATGACCCACTGCCTCGGCGTGGTGGTACCGTTGAGCCGGTCTCGCTCTTGAACAGGGTTGTTCCTGGAAAGCGAGGGGAGAGATGCGCGTCGAAGATGTTCGAAGAAAGCTTATACGTTGGAGAATGATTGTATTGTATCATCGCTGATTTTTCTTGAGACCACTTTCTCATGTCCATGACCACGCAAACACGTAAACACATACGAATAGAATATTGAACAAATCATTGATCAGGGCGGGCCGCCATGAAGACCTGGGTCCTGTTCAGTTACCCAGAAACCCATCAACGATTTTTAAACTTCGTCCTATGAAGGCAATGCCAAATGGTTATGAGGGGTCTCAGACCTTATTGCTTGTCATTTAACCACGTTCCACCCTGCACGAGCCGGAAATAGAGACGAACCCAGCGAGTTGCTCAAGCAGGTTCAGTCAAACCCCCTCGCCTGAGGACAGTTGGATTCTCCCCCTTCTTCGCTCTCCAACTGATGATCGAGCCCCCGGCGTTCTTCCACGCGTGGTCCTGACGAAAGGTCTACGTAACGGCATCACCAGGACCTGGGATGCATCACCAGGTGAAAAGGGCGGACACCAACAGTGACAGACCTGGGAGACAGATGAATAGACATGCTACATGGCCAGGGGCGAACACCACCAGTGACAGACCTGGGAGACAGATGAATAGACATGTTGCATCACCAGCGGAAAAGGGCGGACACCAGCAGTGACAGACCTGGGAGCCAAACGAATAGAATCGAAATGTTGCAATTGCAAATGCATAGGATTGTGCCATGGCCAGCGGAAAAGGGCGGAAACCGGCAGACACCAGCAGTGACAGACCTGGGAAACAAATGAATAGAATTGCTACATGGCCAGCGGAAAAGGGCAGACACCAGTGACAGGCTTGGGAGACAAGTGAGTAGAAATGCTACATGGCCGGTGGAAAAGGGCAGTGACAGACCTGGGAGACGAATGAATAGAAACGCTACATTGCCAGCGGAAAAGGCCGGACACCACCAGTGACAGACCTGGGAGACAAATGAATAGAAATGCCACATAGGCAGTGGAAAAGGGCGGACACCACCATTGAATTGACAGACCTGGGAAACAACACCAGCAGTGACAGACCTGGGAGACCAATGAATAGAAATGCTACATGGCCAGCGGAAAAGGGCGGACACCAGCAGTGACAGACCTGGGAGACAAATGAATAGGCATTTAATTTATAGAGATGCTACATGGCCAGCGGAAAAGGGCCGACACCAGCAATGACTCACGGACAGTCATTTGTGAGAGCAAGATCTATAGCTCTAGCTCTAGTACATCAAGCTCTCTTGAATCTGGACAGCAACTCCGTTCTATAAAGAGCGAAATTGTTACTATAACAAGGTCCGTTTCAGTACTTAGGTTCCCTGATTCCATAGCGGGAATTTCAATCGGGATGTATTTAACATTGATTGGTTTTTGCGATGATTCAGGGTGGTCCGCACTGCAAGGACGCAAGTTCCCTGAGTTCCCTCATTCCCTGCTTGCCTCGCTGGCCTCCCACTTCTGCGAGAGTTTGAGCCACTTGAAGGCACTATCTTCCCAGTCCTGCAGGCCGCCAACCGATATCGAGCTGGCCAGAGGCAAAACGGTGTAGGACTTATCCTTCTTGTCGGTTGTGCATTGTGTATGTATGTGCCTCGTTGCTCCTGTCGCCTTTGATTACCCTGGCCGCCAGCGAACTGGCCGCCAGGAAGCGGTGGTCATTCAATTAATTCAATTGGTCCTTCTTGTTGCTCCTTGTGTGGGTTCCTAACTTGTCGTGATTGCGCGTCTATTAACTTATTGAGCTTGAGCTATGGCTACGTTGTCTCCTTCTCCCGGAAAGAATGGCCTCCTGAATAATCATACATATAGTCCCTGCCAGCGAGCATGAATGCCCTGCTAGCGCTGCTAGTTAAAAGAAACCTCGTGGGAATAACACAGTAGCAATATTCAACATGTCCCTGCCAGCGAGCAGGGATGCCCTGCTAGCGTTGCCAAAAAGAAACCTCGTGGGAATAACACAGTAACAAGATTCAACATGTCCCTGCCAGCGAGCATGGATGCCCTGCTAGCGTTGCCAAAAAGAAACCTCCTGGGAATTATAACACAGTAACAAGATTCAACATGTCCCTGCCAGCGAGCATGAGTGCCCTGCTAGCGTCGCCAAGAAACCTCATCATATCACTAGGCAAAACGGTGTAGGACTTATCCTTCTTGTTGGTTGTGCATTGTGTATGTATGTGCCTCGTTGCTCCTGCCGCCTTTGATTATCCTGGCCGCCAGCGAACTGGCCGCCAGGAAGCTGTGGTCATTCAATTAATTCAATTTGTCCTTCTTGTTGCTCCTTGTGTGGGTTCCTAACTTGTCGTGATTGCGCGTCTATTAACATATTGAGCT